GGGTTGTGTTTGTACTCGGTCATATAAATGCTCATAAAACATGGACAAAATCATGGAACAATATGTACCAAAGAGGAGAAAAACACAAGCCCGAGAGGACTAGCAAATGTAGTGAATGGCAAAATACAATGTGAAAAAAATTTTAAAGCATAAAATAGGGCAAAATTTAAAGGTTAAATTTAGCATGAATAGATGTCAGATCCTACATTTATTTTCAATTTAAAAATCTCATATACATAGAGCCTAATTCCAATTCATCAATAATATGAAGGGCATAGTAGATTATAAACCATATAAGCCAATGATGTGGAAAGTCTGGTGAAAACGTTTTGAAGTATTAGGTTGTATTAAAGGAACTATACAAAATTGGAAAAGAGGGTTCTTTTAGAACTTGGAAAAAAAATACACCACTTGTAGAAAACTAAATGTTGTTCTAGGCCACAATTTAAGAGAGCTATTAGCAAACTGAAGTGTGTCATAAATGGCAGGTTTCGCTAATTAAGAGACCAAATCAATCTTACCTTTTTACACTCACAAATAACATGAGTTTTGTGAATTAACAAAAATTAACTGACAAAAATCCATTTTCGGATATTTCAGGGGAATGTTGAGTTACGTGGCTTGTTTCATTACTTCAACACATCTCAGACCATATGACAGGCAATATTTCCCAGACTTTTCCGGAAGGAGGATAGACTATATTGAATTTCCAAAAATAATAATGTCAGAAACATTCCCCCCACCTTCCCCCCGGGATCATCTCATAGAACTAATGTTCTATAGAACAGAACCTGGTAGATGCCATGTGAAAAACAAAAGCTAATATGCGTTTTCCAAAGAAAAGAACACTTGGGGAGGAAAGAAGAGAATTAACCTTCCTAACTTTCGATATCCGGATAGCAGCATGGAGCTCTGTTTCTGGAAGATCATCTCTATTTTCTTTAGGGCGGAGAGGGTACACACTACACATAAGTAGGTTTTGATTCAACATGAAGAAAATCTTGACAAATTGTATAAAGTTGTAAAATTTCCATCACTGAAATATTCAAGAACTTTTGCACATTTGGTTGAGTAAAATGCTTAAGGATTCTCAGAATAGGTTTACTAGAATTTTGTTTGTGAGCAATGACCTATTCAATGATCCTCTAGGATAATTTCCAAATTTCAGGTGGCTGATTTATAGTGCTTAGTTTAGGACTGATTTTTTTCTTTTGGTAATATTCAAAATGCCTTTCCTGCTCTGGAGAATATTCTGAGCCAAACTCTTAATTTCTCACAATTAGTGAGTATGGGCCTGAACAATTTATTTTTTACTTCACTTAAGTGAAACACTCTAGAAGAGAATGAAATAGAATTCTAAATATATATTAAATTCTAAAATGGATCCTTTTTAAAACATGTCACTGTGATGGATGATATTTTCAGGATTGTTTCCTTTCATTTACACAATTATTTGACAGTTGATTTTCAGCATTCAACGTCTGTTATGGCCATTGTCTGATATTTATGGAGCAATTCTCGTTATGGGATTATTCTTTCACATTTGGCTCATTGAAGTACTTTTTTGTATCTGTCTTAAATGATAAATGCTTAATTAAAAACTGAAAATGTTTTAAGAAAGTCTGTGAAATCTTTACACACACATGTACAAACACATATCCGCATGTGCGCTGTATATTTTTCTGAGACACTAAGAACCAGTCCACCAATAATATCCTTCCTGAATTCAGGGTATGGTTAAACAAAATAAGTCGTAGTATAACGAACAGGAAATTCGGTGAAGTTCATGTTCTTAATTCCCTGCCAAATTCATCACGAAAGAAGACAATGGGATTTAAAAACTGTATTCCGATATTCTCTGAGTTCACCTTTATATAGGCTATGTTAAAAAACATAAGAAATGATTAAAATATAGGAAGTAATTTGGAAAGCTCCCAGTTCCCAGGGCTTTTTTTTTTTCCCTTAGATAGACATTTCACAGAGAAATCCCCTAAACTTTTGATTTCATTTAGAGAACATGGATTTGACAGTGACATTTTTTCCCTCAGTTTCTGCCAGGACTTAGAATCCCTCTGTTATCTCTGAATAGAAATATATTCAAAGAAATTAATCCTATACAGCTTTCCCATTGAATGGAATATTTAATCAATAAAAGTACTCAGGGTCATATTGCTGGATTGGGCTGTTTCCTTAGTGTGTGAAGTTGTTGCTTCCTTGCACGGTTCCCAATGAAGGCAGCAACATGGCTTCTAAACTTTACCGTAATACTTTTAAACAATTCAAAAACATCATGATTTTCAAGCATGATGCACACTAATGGGGGATGTGAAGATGCTCTAGCCTTTAGGGGACCGCTTGTTACGCCAGTGTTTTAGATACATACATATGAACGAAACATCCAGACGCCCTCCCCAGGCTGTGTGGGGAGTTCATTGCCTCCTTATTAGTGAAATACCATCGGAGGTCATCTCAAACAGGTAGCATATTTTCAATTTTCCCTCAGTATTTCCCCAAAAGTGTTCAGAAAGATGGTTAAACATTCTGAAGAAAAATATGTCACATCCAATTTTCTAAAGGCACAATAGAAAGAACCCAAATCTCACACATCAGTGTATGTAGCTAATGTACTTAGAGGCAAAATTGGCCTAGTGCTTATCTCTGGCTTAGCAGGACTCATGAAGAGATTTAATTCTGAATCTTTAAGTGAGTGAACTCCTGAAGGGAAAGGTGCTCTCACTGGAAAATAGAAAAATTATTAAAAAGCAAGTGAGTGACCACTTCCATAGAGTAGTCAAGAAAAGAGTTTACTTCCCTTTGTGTCTCAGACTGCAACTACTTTAAGATAGGAGTTTCCTACTAAAATATGAGTTTCCCAGCCAATAAACCTGGGTCTAGAGGATTTTCAAAGGTTATCATTTCATTCCAGCAAAAATATTATCCACTGCTTCTATTAGGTAGACATTTGAAGGTGATTGTTGTATTGCTTTGGATTAAGCTATATTAAAATGGAAGCAGTGGCTGAATCAGTAGGGTTTAGAATAAACCAATATTGGAGGGATAAGCCAAAGGGTCTTTTTTCATTTTATGCAGCTTTGTATTGGAGGGTGACCTCCCAATCCACTTTCTTAATTCCCTTCCTTTTGCAACTCCCCGCCCTTCTTAAATAGCAAGATCATCTTGGCAGAAACACAAAGCAGGCAAATTGGAAATATACAAAATACTGTGGGTGTACATGTGAATGTGTATGCCACTGTGTGTTCTTAATGAATATACTCTAGTCTTTAGTTGTAGGCCTTTATCTTTGTTCAAAAGGTGTTCAAAATCATGTTTTTCAAAACATACTCACTTATTGAAACAATCAACCTCAAGAAAGATTTCCTTTCCACCATGCTCAAAATTGTCAGTTTCTTCTATTTGTGGGAGATAAAATAGTTAATAATGTAAATTGGTTATGTAGCTGTTTAAAACAAATTCCTACCTTCCTCAATTCTATTGAAAGTATTTACTTTGTAATTAAACTGGATGATAGTCTGGCAATATGAAACATAATCTAATAATTTTATTTTGTATTCTATGTACAAAATGCTTTTTTTTTAAATTATAGTGTGGCTAAGTAAATTGCACTATTGTACATGCAAAGCAGCTTTTTTAGGTTATTCAATAAATTACTTGGACTGTAGTTCAATGCAATAATATTTTTTTCAATAAAATGCTTAATGGTATAAGAGTATTAGTCATGCATTTCTAACAAAAACATACCAAAATATAAAAATGAAATCAAAAGCAAAATGGTATGGAAATATTCTGTATTTTACACTACTGAATTTAAAATGCATTTAACATTTTATTTATTATTGTATATATTTATATTATATATTTAAAGGCTGGGATTTCTTAGACTATTTCTTAAAATTTTAGTGTTATAAAATAAAGCTGTTTCCTCAAACTAAAAATAAATATGATTTTAAAAAGTTCTATAGATGTATTCTTTGTTGAAACCTATTATACAAATACTATGTGAAGTCCTTCTGTTTCTTGTAGCTTCAAAAACAAGCAGGACTTTGAAATGCTCTAACAGAGTTTAGTTTCTGGAATGTATTCTCTAAGTGATAAGACAGACATGATGGTATTCTTCACATGGATAATAATTTTAGTGTAAACTCTGAAAATACTTTAATTAATAACCCAAATAAGCTCTTGTTCCACAACGACTCAACTCACTAGGAAACCTCTTTAATCAAGCATGACCAATAGGGTGGGAATATTATTTAACTGTTTTTCCTTACTTTATTTTCTTTATCTTTGCCCTCATTTGCTGGATCTTAGTAGGATATCCTGGATTGTTTCACCTCATTTGCTGGATCTTAGTAGGATACCATGGATTGTTTCATTTGTTATCAAGACATTCTCATAAACACTTGTCCTTTGTCACTAGTTACTTATTGTTTGTAGGCAAATAGATTTCTTCCACATTTCCAAGCCTTCAAGAAAGTAAAGAAAATTTATTGTAGAAATAGTTAATTAAGGAAATAACTGGGATATGATTTTTCCCTCCTTAAATTACTCATTCGTTGAGTAGTTAGGGGGGTTGTTCAACATTGACCAAGACAAAGGCAAAACAAAATGATGAGCAGAAAAAGTGATGAGGCTAATCATTTTGGGTCATTTTTTCATCTGGACACTTATCCTTATTTCATGAACTTAACACTGACTATCAAACTCTCAATTTATGACAATGAATTGAAATCATCCAGTCAAGGCTCAAAGTTCCTTTACCTTGACTATATTTGGGCACCTGGGTGGCTCAGTTGATAAAGCCTCTGCCTTCGGCTCCGGTCATGATCTCAGGGCTCTGGGATTGAGCCCCGTGTGGGGCTCCGTGCTCGTCTGGTAATCTGCTTCTCCCTCTCCCTCTACCTCTCCTCCCTGCTCATGCTCTCTCTCTCTCTCAATTGGATAAGTGAAATCTATTAAAAAAATAATTTGGCCTTTTTCCTTTTGCCTCGTTGCATCCGAGAGAGCAAGATGGGTCACCAGCAGCTGTACTGGAGCCATCCGAGGAAATTTGGCCGGGGTTCTCGTTCTTGCCGCGTCTGCTCAAACCGGCACGGTCTGATCCGGAAATACGGCCTCAATATGTGCCGCCAGTGTTTCCGTCAGTACGCGAAGGATATAGGCTTCATTAAGTTGGATTAAGTGAACTTCCTTGAATTGGTCATCCAAGA